TGGAGGTAGCTGGGACAGCTGCCTGCAGTAGTGGTGCAGAGAAATTTGCCACCACACAGACAAGCCGCTTATCTTGTGTTAGAGAAACCTCATTTACAACTTGGGAAATATAAACTGGCAGTTAACCCACAGATAACTGTTTAGGGAAGCCTAATAGTATGGGATGCTAAGAATGTGCTTTGGCTTAATCTGAATCTTTGCCCCTGCAAATGTTGGAATATTTGCAGTAGATGTCTTTCCATACGGGGTAAATGCTATAAACTCTTTTTTTTTTTCAAACATTTGGTATATGTAGGTTTGAATAAAGCCGTTCATGCTCTGAAATTATACTGTTCTGGAAGGTTTCTGCTGTCTATATTTAATTGAAAAAAAAATTATATTTTTTTTTTTTTTGCTACTACTGTTTTGGTTATTGTGTGTCAGCAGCAGACTTGTGTTTCCTGTTAGCCTGGCTTCCTGGCTTACTGAGGCAGCTGAAAGTGGGGTCTGAAAGCTACAGGGGCCAGCTGCCTTAGCTTCACCAGCTTTGCCAGCTGGAGCAATATCATAGGCTTTATTCTATCCAACGTGGAGTTTTATAAGAGACAAGGCAGCAGGATAGGAAGCAGGGAAGAAATGGCATAAAGGAGGAGAAACCACTAATCTTCAGGTGAGTAGCGCTGCAGTTTCTCCATGCTGTTTGTTTTCTTTAAAGATGGGGGTGCATATAGTGTTCAGGAAAGTGAGGAACAGTAATCAGACCTCCTGCTGTTGTGACTAGGGTCAAGGCTTTGCCTGTGTGCCCCCAAGTGGGGGGCATGGTCCAGGTAATACTGGGGCTCTGAAGCACCTCATATTCCCATGGCCGCACCATAAGACTGTCTTGGCCCCAAACAAACAAGGGCCTCGCCTGCACAATGTCTCCAAAGGCCTAATGTCTTTATAGATGTGGGTGAGGATGCTTTCCCACTGCCCTCCAGTGAAGTTTCCTGATGGTGCCCGCTGGTTACCACAAGCTGACCTTGAAGTAAGGTGAAGCCCCAGAGCAGGTTGACATAATGGAGCTACAGGATGGTGAAAATATTCAGACCTTTTCTGAGCAACCCTGCGGGAGTCAACCCCTGGCTCCCAGTCTCAATTTATGCCCAGAAAAATCGCCCAGCTGATAAAATTTTCTGGAGCAACAGTGACATCTTGTGGGTTAATTTTAAGTGTGCTGTATATGGAAATGTTCATACCAGTCTCCTTCACCTTGCCTTGGGTGGAAACCAGCAGCCTGAATTAAAACGGCATCAACAGCCATGTGCTTAGCATACCCCTAGACCTGATGGTAAAATATCTGATGGATGGCTAAAGAGCTTATAAAGTCTTATGCCAAAGCCTCACATGGAAATTCAGGTAGCAGGATCATTTTTGTAAATAGTATTTTAATTGGAAACTGATTGGTAAGTGGTTATTGCATGTATTTCATTAAGAAGACACACAGGAAGCTTACTTGTACATGGACAACAGGAGACTGAAGTTTTGTTAACATGTATTTTTGAAGATGCCAATGTCCTAGTTTTAATTTGTGAGAAGGCATCAGATGAATGTTGATTCAGGTCTCCATTCTCATCACAGTACACACATTTTTATTTTCATTTTCATCATCACTGAGCATAACCTTTGCTACTGTGTTTGCCAATCTGCTTGCAAGGCTTCATTTGTTTCCAATCTAATTCTTTTTTTTTTTTCTTTTTTTTTTTTTTTTATCCTGGCATATTGAATCTGTTGCTCCAGAGGATTTTTCAGTCCAGCTGGGCTTCAGTTATTCTCTGATTCCCCAAGGCTCCATTTTGAGTCCTACTGTGATTTGCATTTGTAGACTTTCAATGGGTAAGCATTATAGCTTCTCAAACGCTGTACTGTCACATCCTTTCCAATGGCACTTGACTCCTGCTGATTTTGTAAAAAAGCATGTTTTGCATAATATTCTGCATGACATTAAATTATGGAGATCTTTAAAAAACCGTCTATTCGAGAGAAAAGCGAGCTGCTATTAATTAGCTGTCTGATGCCCAGACTCATGTTGATAGTGATGGTTTCCCTTAGTTATGGTTTTATTAATCCATAGGAAAACATGCCATTATAGATATTAAAAATTGATTTCAAAAGAATACTGCCAGCTTGAAAAGCGGCAATCAGTCTTTTGAATTATCAAGTTTTTAATAGAATCATTTTAAAAAGCAAAGTTCTAGATTTGTCTAAAATATTTTTGCCAGCAAAGTTGAAGATAACCTCTCCATGTGTGTTAGCACATACTTCTGCACACAAATACTGGAATGCCTGCTTCAGAAAGCTTTGAAATCTCTTTTTTTGAACATACAGAAACTTCAGGAGTGGATGAGGTTTCTAAAGAAGAATTTCTCAGGATGGTTGAAGTCCTTTCCACTTATTTCTCCTCAAAATGTGCCTACTCAGACCTATGCACATAAAAACATGCCCACAGGTTTCTGCACATATATGCAAGATCTTTAATGTTTTTTTTTAAATTAATGTTAACAACATGCATCACCTCTTATTACTCATTTCCTTGCATCACCCTTGTTTTAAAATACAATTCCTCCTTTGCCCTAAATACATCGTATTGTCCAGGATTAAGGACTGCCCTCGTGCACATACCCACTGGGAGTTGAAACCTTGTAATGAGAGATGTTGCTTCCTCACAAGGTTTCTGTGGGGTCTGAGCCATATTTTGCCTTTTTACCCCTGCTGAAAAAGAGATAACCGAGATTTTCTGTATTGCCACATACCACCTTTCTTTTAAAAACAGCAACATTGACAAGGAGTTTCTTGGAATCATAGCTTTAAAATGAATAAATAGGAAAGAAGGCTCACAACCCAATAATCTACTGATCTTCTGAAGTGATAATTCATCACAGTGCCATCTGTTTAGAAACATTATAAATCAAATGCCTTCCCTGTACCTATAATGATATCTATAACAAAGTGATCTTTTTAAATCTATTAAAAAGAAATTAAGGGAGATAGCAATCCAGCAATCTTGCAGTTTCAGAACTGCATTCTGTTGGACATTAAAAATCAATTAATAAAATAATATACTTGTAGTTTGTCATTACTATTTTTAGTGCAATCAATGTTTTTCTTATATAAATTTCAAAGAATTGTGAGTTCTGTTCTTCTAGTGATACATGCATATCAACAGGGCAAAGAGGTACATGCCAGAGCACAATATACTGCTACGCTATCAGTTATAATTTACTTTCTTTGAAGGAAAATAATTTGTACTGTGATTCATTTTGCAATACAATCCAAATGCTGAGGGTTTTTTGCAGGTTCTTCTGGCCTAGAGTATATATTCACCAGTTTTCCTACCTATGCTTTTGCATGCTTACTAGACCAGGAGCATAATTTCATTACTGGAGTTTATTAGGTGTAGAAGTACCTTTAATACGCTGAATGTTCTTTATGGGAGGGTAGTTACAGACTTATATGGGTTATACCCATGTGTTGCTGATTTGCAGCAAAAAATATATTAATACATACATGCTCATTAATACATTTTATGAGTTGCAAAGACAGAAGAATTTTCTGAAAATGATTCTTTTAGATCTTGTACTTTCTTTCCTTTAATAGTTTGATTACAAGGTTTAGGAGAACTTTCTTCCAAGGGAGACTAAGTGCAGTTTCTTCAGAAATGCTGTCAGTGCAGCAGCCATCTGGAGCATAGCTCTGTGCACACAGCAGTGGTTAAACTGCGCCATGAAGTTACCTGTGTTCCTGCCCTTTCCTTCCTTTAAGCTGTGATCTGAGAAATGTCTTTGTTTAAAATCCAGCAGAATTATGAGTAAAGATATTGCCCATGTGCTTGCAGTTTCTCAAAGGTCGGTCCAGCTGGCAAACTTTCCCTAGGTTAGGGATGATTAGCACCAGAAACTTTGAATTAGATTTTAGTGATTTTTAATGACTTGCAAGCTAACTGGAAAATTCAGGTATGTTTTCCTAAATTTGTGAGTTTCTAGTTATGCTGTTGTGCTTCAAATTTTAAGTTCATTAATGTTTTTCAACAAATCACTCTCACCTTCTTATGTTCTAAACATTTGTAATATGTGGTGCTGAGACACTTTTAACACATTTTACCCTGGAACTGAGGTAAGTTTAGAATTTTTCCAGGTATAGCTGAGAAAAAAAAGCACTTCCATTGAAAATGCAGTGAATTACAACAGCTCCTGATATTTAAAAAACCCCAGAAGACTGACAGAAGATCCTATCCTGAAGATCTTGTTAAGGCTCCTTAATAATTTGCCTCGTTTTTGAAAAAAGCAAAGTGCTTGACAGCTAATGGAATGACATTTAACAAAACAGTGATGGAAAGCAGCAGAGAACCTGTGAGTTTCTGAAATGCAAAATGGTGATTGCTTCTAACTACATGCTTGGCAAAACTGGAGAGTCACTCTTTTCATGGCATTTTCTAAATATGACATTGATGTAAAAATTTTAGGTACACAACTGAGTGACAGAACTTTCTTATTACAAACTTTAAGACATTTTATTGCATTTTAATTAAAGACAACCCTAAACTGCTTTTGTTCCAAAACACCAGCTCTACCAAGAGGGCAGTAGCAATGACATTTGCCAGTCCAGCAGCTTAGCTGGAAAGGTGAGGCAGCCTTGTGCTCAGTGCAGAAAGGCAGGCAAAAAAGAGGTAGCCCCTCTTTCCCCAGTACAATCTTCTAGACATAAAATCTGGAAAATTAGAAAATAATTTTCAACAGTAATGGCCATGATCATCTGTCAGAAGAAAATGCAGGTAGTTTTGCTGTGTTTAAAAGTAGCACAGTCTAGCTGTAAGGTTTTGGGGATGGTGAGGCTCTAGTTTTTAAATGAAGACAGATGTGTCATTTAAATAGTGGAAAGCATGAGGTATCGCTATGTATTTTTCTATGTATGCCAGCTGGTAATTGTTTCTGGGAGGTGAGTGGGAAAGATGTTTCTTTAGCATTGCTTGCAGAGTTATAAACTTGGAGAAATACAGGCTCAGTATAGCACTGAATGAGAACACAGACATTTGCTGTACCTGTGAGTGGTGGGTGTTCTCTCACTAACAGAAACAAGTGGCATGTTTTCACGGTTGCTTCATCTTCTTTTTTGAAAGCGCTTTCTTGGGAAATAGTGGAAAGCAGTCCGGACTGATGCATCTTTGGCATTTACAATAAAAAAGACACCAAGTGGGACAAATCCTGCATATCATCCTTGGCAAATTAATTCCTCTGTGGCTTGGCCATGCATACAAACAAGGTAAGATGTGTCCTGCTGTGTAAGCACCTTTCTTGACAGGTCAGCAGGCATTTGAATTCACCATGTACACAGGCCCTCTTACAGTTTATTCATTTTTCACTTAAAATAGACAAAACACAGCAATTCTTTCCTCATGGCCTGATGGTCTCTTGCATTCCAACAGTATTTGTTTCCTCCTCTTTGTTTCTATCTGTTAACAACTACTAAGAGGCATAAAATAGTTTACTGACAGAATTTTCTATGTATGTTATGCATTTATATGTATCTGTTGTAGGGATTGAGTTTTGCTTATGGGAAAGGCAGAAGTACTTTAGAATGACGAAAAAGAAAGCTGAGGTCTCTTGTGTGTCTCCAGATATGCTGTCTTTCAAACCTAGGTGGTGGAACTACTGCAGTTGAACGTGGTGGTGGTTGTTGAGGAGAGATAAAGACGGCTCCTTGGAAGGCCTTTAAGTGATCCTGCAGGTGTTGGTCATACTCTGTGCAGGGCGGGGCAGAAATCAAGAAGGCTTTGAAGGGACATTATAGTGCTAGAAGAAATAGTTGTTACTAGTTCATTCACATTTTCTGGAGAGAATTTGAATCCAAGCTATATAAGGTAGAAAAGAAGAGGGGGAAATTGTGGATGAAAATGAGAAATCAAGGACTTTCTGGAAAAGAAAAAGATTGTGGAATATTTTAATTGATTAGTTTGTTGAGGAGGGAGAACCAATTGGCTCACTTTTGAATCCTTTCGCTAACCATTGGTGCAGCAAGTTTTTCTTTGGCATCTGGTCAAAGACCATCACTTAATTCAGTTTCATTTATTCATTTCACATAATTATGACAGTGGATTATGATGACTTCAGAGTTCAAAGCTGCTTATTTGCTACAGTTGTCTACAAGGTTACTGTGGGGTGTACTTTCAGAGACTGAGTTTTTCTAAAAAACAGGATCACTGAGTGGAGTCAACCTGCATTTAGCAACAGAGTAATTTTTTTTTTAATTTTTTTTTCTCAGTTACTGGGTGATCACTTGTCACTACACAGAACTGGCAAGCAGGAAGACCCAAGAAAGATGGAACAAGAGGAGCAGTTAAAATCCCCAACCAGACATACCCTGCAAAGCCTGCCCAGTATGGAAGGGCACTGAGTCATGCACAGCCTTCGGCTGAGAGTTTTGGAGAACACAGCGGGAGACAGAACTACAGAGCAGCAAGCAGTAGCTGTAGACCCCACCAGGTACCTTACCTTACACAGGGAGTGATCTGTGTCTGAGTGTCTAATAGCACACTCTAATACTTGTGGAAAACGTGTTTCATTTAAAAAATTGGTTTTATTTACTCTTTAGAGAAAAGTACAAGAAACAGCACTCTATCTTCTCTGAATCCAGTAGCAGAATATTAATTGGCCTCACTGTGAACAGCATCAGGCCTTTCTGTTCAAATACTGGAATCATGCCACAAGAACATAGAAAAAGTCTATCACTGACATATTTTGTGAAGAAAGACATTCCAGTTTCTGAAGCAAGCACCTAAGCTGTCTTCTGCAAGAAGCTGAGTGATGCTCCCTGTCAGGAGTGCACCCCAGCTAAGCACTCTCACTGTAGGTAAGACCCCCAAGACTCTCTCTTTTGATGTCAGTAACTTGTGTAATGCATTGCCTTGTGCTGCTGCTTTGCCTAAGAAATGTACTATGAATATTTTGACTCATGGTGGTTAGTGTAATATTTATGCATATAATGTATCTGTGAGAGTCACCTTGAGCATGGTGCAGGCTGAAAAGAGCAGATAAACAGCATTAGTGCCTGCAATGTGTGCAGCACTCTTCCAGGTGCTTCACTGCAGTTCATCACTACCCTGTACATAGAAAAGATATAAATGGTGCAACTTCAGTCATCAGCTGGTTTCTTAATGATACCTCTAGGAAGGAGAAAGAAGTGTAATGCAGGATCTCATCTAAAACACATGCTTTTAGACTTCAGCAGCAATAAATATTCTAGAGAAATAAATAGGATCATTTAAACCGCTTGAACTCTCCTCACCTGCTTAAACAAAGCAGAAGACGGAGAAAATAGCAGACAAAACTAGTGCTGATAAATGATGCTATTATATAATGAGCAGTGCATACAGTTCTGGTCTTCAAGTGTTAACATGTTGAGGGAAGAAAGTATAGACAAGTATGGCAAGGTTGCCAAAAGTGCGGTATATGTCTGTGTGAGCAAAGACTAAATAGGCTAAGACTTTTAAACTCAGCATAAAAAGATGAATGGGAGGTATGGGTAGAAGTTACAGGGGAAGAGGGGCTGTAATTGATGTCTACAGTTCTGCAAGTGCCATAGAAATTTAGCAAGGCCTATGTTTTGTCTGCCTTTCATTAGGTGAACCTAGGAGGCATCAAATGAAATGATCAATTGGACCTTTCAAAACTAGCCAAAGCATGGAATACTTTTGTGTATCTTGTTAAATAATTTGCTACAGGGCCTTGTGAATGCCCAAATGCTGCATGGTAATCAGTTAAATATTGTTTACACAAGATTACAAAAGAAAGGGATACAACACTTTATTAAAAAAAAACAAAACAAAATCAAACAAAAAAGCCCTACAAAATCCCCACAAACCAACTGCAACCAATCAGAATACATCAAGTCCACCTCAAACTTAGGATGTCTGATTTGCAGACTCCTGCAGGAGGGGCAATACTGGGTGTCATACAGCTTTATGACTTCCTTCATGAATGCATCTTGCATAAAACATCTAATGTTCAGCTATGTTATTCTCAGGGTAGAATCCGTACTGGCTTGATCCTGTTTAGCAGAACAAAGGTTAGCACTTGTGAGACAGATGAAGCAAACAGAGACTTGCCCTTTTATACAAAAACAGGGCAAGTTTGCCTTTAGAAGTGAGGAGTTTCTTGTGTTTATAACAACTCCCTGTCCTTTGGTTGCTGCTTTTCTCCTTTTTCTTTTTTTTATTTTTTAATTTTTAACATAAAGCAGTATTTCTTCCTAGTCCACAGTACAGGAAACAGGAGATTCTTAGTGGATAAAAGCTGGGTGGTTACCTGCTGTCTTCAGCCTTGCTCTGTAATATATTGTTTGTGCAAATACTCTACCAGGGCACCTCAACAAGCTGCAGACTGGAGAAATCCTTTTATCTCATCTGTGGTTTGTAAACCACTCACTCCCACTAAGAAGCCAGACTTCATGAAAATCATCCCACTCAGATGAATAGAATGACTTGTGTAATTAACAACCTCAGGAAGAGGCAAATTCAGATACTGGCACAAAATGATTATTGCCGTTAACCACTTGTTAGATGTTGTAACCTTTTAATTTCATTTAGTTGTTTTCTTGCTGCTAGTGTTATCCTAACCACTGTGTTGTTGCAACAATTTTCCCTTATTTTTGCTGCATGTGATACAACCCCTTGCTCTCAGATTAGGCACTGACATTAAGATCATATAAATTTGACTAACAAGGACTAGAGAGGTAGTTCAGTAGCTGTCTGCAGCACACTAGTGGTGCATCTTTCCTCATCTTTGCTGCTTTTTCCAGAGCCACGACGGTGCCATTATTAGTGCTGACAAATAAAGAGGCAGGAGTATAATTGTTGTTGATGGTGGGCAAGAAAAGGCTGCTTTTCTCATTTTCAGAAGAGAGCATTTGCCAGACAGAAATACGAATTCTCTCCTGTTCCCCCAGGGACTATCAAATGTTGGACATGCAGATGCAACAGCCACACACTGTGGCGTGGGCCTGCAGGAATATATATGGCTCCTGACATGATTATCTTTTCACAAGGTATTGTTAAAGATTCTGTGAGCTAGCTATGTTTTAAGAGGGGGCCATTAAACACCATCAATAATTGGGCTTCCTTAGCCCACACATCATTAGACCAACTTGTGGAAGGATCATTCTTTTTATTTCAATGAGAGACTTCACATGAGGCAGCAGTGTGGATTTGCAGCCCAGAAAGCCAACCATATCCTAGGCTGCATCAAAAGAAGTGTGACCAGCAGGTCGAAGGAGGTGATCTTGCCCCTCTATTCTGCTCTTGTGAGACCTCACCTGGAGTATATTGTGTACAGTTCCGGTGTCCTCAACATAAAAAAGACATAGAACAGACAGAGGAGGGCCATGGGGATGATCGGGGGGGTTGGAGCACCTCCCGTATGAAGATAGGCTGAGAAAGTTGGGACTGTTCAGCCTGGAGAAGAGAAGGCTGCTTGGAGACCTCATAGCAGCCTTCCAGTATCTGAAGGGGGCCTATAAGGATGCTGGGGAGGGACTCTTCATTGGGACTGTAGTGATAGGACAAGGGGTAACGGGTTCAAACTTAAACAGGGGAAGTTTAGACTGGATATAAGGAGGAAGTTCTTTACTATGAGGGTGGTGAGGCACTGGAATGGATTGCTCAGGGAAGTTGTGAATGCTCCATCGCTGGTGGTATTCAAGGCTAGGTTGGACAGAGTCTTAGAAACATAGAATCATGGAATAGTTAGGGTTGGAAAGGACCTTAAGATCATCTGGTTCCAACCCCCCTGCCATGGGCAGGGACACCGCACACTAAACCATGTCACCCAAGGCTTGAAAACCACCAGGGATGGAGCATTCACAGCTTCCCTGGGCAACCTATTCCGGTAACTAACCACCCTCATAGTAAAAAACTTCTTTCCATAGTGAAGGACTTCTTCCTTATATCCAATCTAAACTTCCCCTGTTTAAGTTTTAACCCATTACCCCTTGTCCTATCACTACAGTCCCTAATGAAGAGTCCCTCCCCAGCATCCTTATAAGCCCCCTTCAGATACCGGAAGGCTGCTATGAGGTCTCCACACACCCTTCTCTTCTCCAGGCTGAACAGCCCCAACTTTCACAGCCTGTCTTTGTAGAGGAGGTGCTCCAGTCCCCTGATCATCCTCGTGGTCCTCCTCTGGACTTGTTCCAACAGTTCCGTGTCCTTTTTACGTTGAGAACACCAGAACTGTACACAATACTCCAGGTGAGGTCTCACGAGAGCAGAGGGGCAGGGTCACCTCCCTCGACCTGCTGATCACACTCCTTTTGATGCAGTCCAGGACATGGTTGACTTTCTGGGCTGCGAGCTCACACTGAAGCTGGCTCATGTTCATTTTCTCATCAACCAACACCCCTAAGTCCTTCTCCCCAGGGCTACTCTTGGTCTCTTCTGTGCCAAACCTGCAGCTGTGCCTGGGATTGCTCCAACCCAGGTGTAGGACCTTGCACTTGTCATGGTTAAAGTTCATGAGTTTGGCATCAGCCCAACTCCCAACCATGTCAAGGTCCATCTGGATGGCATTCCTTCCCTCCAGCTTGGGTGATATGGTTTAGTTTGAGGTGTCCCTGCCCTTCGCAGGGAGGTTGGAACTAGATGATCTTAAGGTCCTTTCCAACCCTAACTATTCTATGATTCTATGAGTCAATGGTGGTGAGACTCCAGCTAATACTTGTGACAGCATTGGCATCAAACAGGCAACAGTGCTGAACTAGGCTACAGGGACAAAGTCTTAATATGATGGGCACATAGCAAGACCCTTTTTTTCCCACCCCAGAACACCATGTTTTGTTTTCCTTTCCATTCACATCTGATTTTCTTCTTTTCCTCTCTCTTTTAAGGTCTGTATTTGATAAAATATGTCTGTTTCTGCAGCAGGCATACTGCCTCCTCCTCTGGATTCATATTTTGCCAGCCCCACATCTCTACCACTTCCCAGCCAGGTCAGCACACTGGGGGTGCTGCATGAAGAGAGTGCGGTTATCAGCATCTCCGGGGATCCAAAATGAGCCACTGTGAAATGGGCTGCTCCTACTAGCATGGGGACTGACATACCAAGTGTACTCCCAATGCACCAGCAGTGTAGTTTGCCTGGACAATGTGTCAGGCAAAATTTGTTAGGTTTTTCGCAGCTCTGATTTCTCTATCCCCAAGAGTGTCTTTGCTAAGAGAAACCATTGATTTTTGCCGTCCAGCATACACACATATAAATATGATTCATTCCACCCCATTCCTCAGAGTTACTTTTGTGAGCTGTTATTCCCGCTAAAATGAGCTTTTTCACATTCTCTATTTCTACCTAGCACACACACAATAAAATTACCAGAAGTGAAATAAACTTCCCTTGGCTTGTGAAGAAATTTTATGTGGTTGAAGGTGACACTTTCTGAAGAAGTAACAGCTAGCTTTATGTTATATTAATTTGTATGTAAACTGAGCACCAGAT